TAGCTGACCCCTTTTTCTTTGGAAGGAAGTAGCCAGAGGAGTTTTAACTGTTTTTTCCCCTTTCCCTGCATTTTCATGGGCAGGGGGCCCTCGGGCCTTTCCTCTGAGAAGGCTCAGATCCCCAGCAGCTTGCTTGGATGACCATGCACTCCCAAGGAGGTGGCCTAGGAGAAAAATCTTAACCAGGCCACTCCTAAATTTATAGTTTGTATTTGAAACTAAAGCTTGGCTGCGTGAACTGCCATAACCAAAATGCCGTAACTGCCTCTGTGCCCAACGCCTAGAATGGGGACAGGTGGACAAGGAGGGTCTTTCTGGGGTGGGGGCTGATCCTCTGAAAGAGGAATTGAGGAGTTACTGGGGATGTTGAATCCTTAGGGGGAAGCAATTATTGAAGACTCTTTTTTCCTGCAAGCAGCCCTGGTCCTGAAGCCGTGCCCTGTGTTTGAGGGCATTGGGTAGGGTGTTCTGTATTGTGCAGTACTGGGGTGCCCCTGCAGGACAGGGCACAATCAGAATCACTCCCCCAAACACACCTCAACACCAGCCACCGGTGCAGAGGAAATGCAGCCTTCCAACTAATGGGGTGTTTTCACCTGTGTTTTATGTCTGTGGTGCTGACCAAGAGGCTTGCTTTTTTTTTTAGTTTGGGCTACTCTTGCAAATAAATGGCTTTGCGACCAGAGTCAGTTTTGGAGGAAGTATAATGGAGTAGGTCAGTTGGTAGGCTTGAATCACTGCCAGTAAAAAAAAGAAATAATAGAGGGGCAGGAAAACAACCTTACAAAATAACATCAGTTTCTCAAAGGGTTAAAAAATGTCCACTGTGCTAAACTAGGTTCTAATTAAAATGTGTGCACCCCACCCCCTTTCAAGCTAGAAGGGTCTCTCTCTGCCCCAGCTGTACCTGTCCCAGGAGATGCCCCTCCCGCCCCTCCCTTACATTCTACCTGGGTGGCCCTTGATAGCTATTGGACAGTTTTCTGATAACCTGAACCCATCCACCTCCCTTCTGCCTATTTTGAAGTTTGCATTGCACAGTGCAATTCCCTCTCCAAGAATCTGGTGGCTCACATGTGTAAACTCCAGTGAATAAAGCCAATGTTTATCTAGTGCTGACTTGTGTACAAGGTTCTTTTACAGATGTTAAATTTAATAATCTTCCTGTAAACTTACACTAAATTTAATAATCTTCCTGTAAACCTACAAGTTAGGAGCTAAATCCCACTTCACTGGTGTGGCAACTGAGGAACAGTGAAGTTGAGTAACTTACCTAGGATCACACAGGTAATGATAGAACTGGATTTTGAAACTGACTAGCTGGCTTCCCAGTCTGATCCCTAAGCCACTGTGCTTACAGCCTCTCACTTAGATTTCAGCTTTTCAGTCTTACTTGGTTTCTGTGGGGTTAAAATACTCAAGAGTTTGATGGGTTTCTTTTTAAAATGGGAATTGCTAAGTAGTACAGGTTTGGAGTTTTTCCTCTGAGTGGCGTGGTGATGCGCTTCAGATACGGCAAGTATGGGTTCTGGTCAGCTGAAAACCTCTAGCCCTGTGACCTTGAGCATCGCCTCTGAGTCATTGTCCATCCTTACGGCGCAGAAGTTCTCAAAGTGTGGTCTCCAGAGCAGCAGCAGCAGCTGAGAACTTGTTAGAAAAATTGCCGCCTCCACTCCAGACCTACTGAATCAGGAACTCGAGAGGTGGAGCCCAAGACACCTTGTCTTAACGAGCCCTCCAGGTGATTCTGATGCACGCGTGTTAGGGAAGCGTGGGCTTGGAGTTGTGCTGCTCCAATTTTAATGTGCAGAGCAGTCGCCTAGGGATCTTGTTAAAGTGCAGGTTGCTTCTGACAGTGGCCTGGAGTCTTGGATGAGGCCTGAGGTTCTGCATTTCTAACTAGCTCACAGTTATGCTGACATTAGTGCTCTGTGGACCACTCTTTGAGTAGCAAAGGTTTAGAGTAGTATGACAGTCACTCGGGGAGTACTTTAAAATGCAGTCTCCTAGAGTCTACCCTAACACTCGCCCCCTGGAAATTACATTTAACTCATAATTCAGGTGATGCTGACCCAGGTATGGGGCCATCTTGTGCCTTGTAGGATGTCCTACCCACTAGACGCCACTCTCATGCACGTGATCCTGGCAATCAAAAATGTCCCCAGGCATCACCAAATGTTCCCTGGGGGCAAAATGACCCCCAGTGGAGAGCCACAGGACTGGGTCACTTGTTCAGACCCTGTTAAGGGACCTCCAGCTGAGAATATACATTGTCCATCTCTTAACAACCCTGAGACAGGCCAGCGATTCCTTTTCACAGATAAGTAAGCTTCGGCTCAGAAAGGTTAAGTTAGTTGTCAGTAGGCACACAGCTAGTAGTGTCCTAAGCAAACTCTCTGCCTAGAACTGAAGCCCTCGCCAATGTGCTGCACAGTGTCCCAAAGAGAAGGTTTACCTTGATAAACCCTCAAGGCAAATGGAATCAACCTTCTGTACTTGGGCAAACAAAAATCCCAGACCTTGGCCTATAATTCATAAATTAGTCAAGCTCTTTTTTTTTTTTTTTTTTTTTT